GTCTCCTGCTTGGGTGGGGGGGTTGGACTAGATGACCTACGAGATCCCTTCCAACCCTGTTAATCTGTAAATCTGTAAATTAACCAGTGGAACAATTTTGCCTCCAGAAGTTGTGAATTCTCCAACGCTGGATGTTTTTTTAGAAGAGATTGGACAACCATTTGTCTGAAATGGTATTGACTGGTTTCCTGCCTGAGCAGGGGGTTAGACTAGAAGACCTCCGAGGTCCCTTCCAGTTTCTATTCTATTCTATTCTACCCTATCTTATCTTATCCTATCCTATCCTATCCTATCCTATTTTTCTAGTCTAGTCTATTCTTCTATTCTATTCTATTCTATTCTGTTCTGTTCTGTTCTGTTTTCTTCCTGTTCTGTTCTATCCTATCCTATCCTATCCTATCCTATCCTATCCTATCCTATCCTATCCTATCCTATCCTATACTATACTATACTATACTATACTATACTATACTATACTATTCTATTCTATTTTTCTATTCTATTCTATTATTCTATTCTATTCTATTCTATTCTTCTATTCTATTCTACTCTGTTCTCTTCTCTTCTATTCCTATTTTTTATTCTATTCCTATTTTCTATTCTATTCTATTCTATTCTATTCTATTCTATTCTATTCTATTCTATTCTATTCTATTCTATTCTATTCTATTCCATTCCATTCCATTCCATTCCATTCCATTCCATTCCATTCTATTTTTACGAACTTACAGCAGTTTATTTAGTGACCATTTGAATGTAGAACGGCACTGAAAAAATGGACTTACGACCGTTTTTCACACTTACGACCATTGCAGCCTCCCCAATCGTCACGTGATCGAAATTCAGAAGCTTGGCAACCGGCATGTGCTTATGACTGTTTCATGGTCCTTGTTCACCTCTTGCGACCTTCAGGCATGAAAGTAACGGGGAAGCCCGATTCACTGTCGTTAACTTAACCCCTGCAGGGATTCCCTTAACAACTTTGGCAAGAAATGGGGCAAAACTCAACTCAACAGCGGTCTCGCTTAGCCATAGAAATATTGGCCTCAACTGTGGTCGTACATCGAGGGAAAAAGTAGAACCTCGCTTTTCTCACCGTTGAATTTCACTTTGTGATGTCGCTCAACTCTGTCGAATGCCTTCTGGGCCGGTCTTCTGTCTGTGGCCGATGTAGAACAGAATAACTCTTTTTTCTACCCAGCCAGCCCCTCCCTTGGGAAGCATTAAGAGAGGCCTTCTCAGGGCAGATGTTGAGGTCCCTTCCAGCTGTTCAAACATGAGCCGTGCAACCCCTGCACAGCCGGTCGAGGACCTCATAAACCGACTCCCGGCTGCGAAGGTCTCGTGAAGGTTACAATCGCTTCACACACTCCCAAGCAAAATTCGGCTGCCCGCCCAGCTGGCTTTGGAAAGCAATTGGGGGGAGGGTGGGGGAAATGGAGCACTGGCTTGGCTTTGGTTGCTAACATATTGTTTCTGCCCCCCTGCCCCCCCCCCAAAAAAAATCCGGCTACTTCCTTGCTTTTTCCAAACAGACAGCGACAGATGCAAGCTGTGGATATTGCATAAGGAAAGATTGGAGTCAGACAGCGAAGAGAGAGAGAGGGAATAATTCTGATTTCGACAGCCCTATTTCCAGTTGGGAAATTCAGTTTGTCCTCGACTTGCAACCACAGCGGAGCACCAAATTTGTGTCGCTGAGCGAGACATCGGTTTAAGTGAGCTTGGCCCCGTCTTTACGATGTTTCTGGCCGCCTTGGTCAAGTGGAGGATTGTGCTTCTTGAATTAAGAACGTGGTTGTTAAATGAATCTAGTTTCTCCGTTGACGTTGCTTGGCAGGAGGTCGCCAAAGGGGATCACGTGAGCCCGGGATGCTGCGACCGTCATAAATGTGAATCCGTGGCCATATTTGGTCAAATGTGACCATGTGACCATGGGGATGATGCAACGGTCGTAAGTGTGAAAATGGTCATCGGTCACTTGTTTCAGTGCTGTTGTAACTTGGAATGGCCACTGCAGATAGTCCTTGACTTACGACAGTTCATTTAGTGACTGTTCGAAGTTACAACGTCGCTGAAAAAAGTGACTTAAAACCATTTTTCACACTTAGGACGGCTGCAGCATCCCCGTGATCACGTGATCAAAATGTGGATGCTTGTCCACTGACTCGTACTTATGACAGTCGCGGGGTCACGCGATCCCCATCTTGCGACCTTCTGACAAGCGAAGTCAATAGGGAAGCCGAAAGTCGTAAAGATGAGACAAAACTCCCTTAACGAATTTCTCACTCCGCAACATAAATTCCGGGCTCAATTGCGGTCGTAAATTGAGGACTGCCTGGAAATCGTTGTAAGTCAAGGACTATTGTAGAAGTCCAGAAAAGGGGAGATTCAGCCACAGGCCACCTTTCCCCCTTTTTCCGTGGTGGACAGTCTGTCCGGAATCTGGCCCCAGGCCCACATTTCGGTCTTCGGTGCTCAATATAGCTGATGAGGTGGCGTCTCTGGCCACAAGCACGCCTCGTGAGGAGTCCGTCCAGCATGTGCAGCCCCCCGAGAAGAACGCCGTGTGCCCAGGCCGGGGAGCTGAACCCGAGGCCAGCCGGCCGCGTCTTCTCCTCTTCCACCCAGGGGGAATCGGCAGGAGGCAGCGAAGCGGCTGGCCCCTGCCCCAGATCGGCCTGGGGTGAACCCACCTCATTCCTCCAGCCACGCAGGCCAGGATGCGGCTTTGATTCGTGGCTGGCTCACGTGGACCTACGAACGAAGACGATTAGGGGGGCCGGAGGCTAAAACGAAGAACAGCTGCAGGAACGGAGTATGTCTCGTTTCATGAAAAGAAGGACTTGGGGCGACATGATAGAAGTCTTCCAATATTTGAGGGGCTGCCCCAAAGAAGACGGGGTCCAGCTATTCTCCAAAGCCCCTGAAGGCAGGAGAAGCAGCAACGGATGGAAACTCATCAAGGAGAGAAGCAACCTGGAATTAAGGAGAAACTTCCTAACAGCGAGGGCAAGTAACCAGTGGAACTCCTTGCCACCAGAAGTTGTGAGTGCTCCAACACTCGAGATTTTGAAGAAGAAATTGGAGAGCTATTTGTCTAGAATGAATAACAGAATAACAAGAGTTGGAAGCAGTGGTGAAATCCAATTTTTTTTACTACCGGTTCTGTGGGCGTGGCTTGGTGGGTGTGGCAGGGGAAGGATATTGTAAAATCTCCATTCCCACCCCACTCTGGGGACAGCCAGAGGTGGTATTTGCCAGTTCTCCGAACTACTAAAAATTTCCGCTACTGGTTCTCCAGGACCTATCAGAACCTGCTGGATTTCACCCCTGGGTTGGAAGGGACCTTGGAGGTCATCTAGTCCAGCCCCCCCCCCCCCCCATCCAAGCAGGAGACCTACACCATTTCTGCCAGATGGCCGTCTGGTCTCTTCTTGAAAGCCTCCAGGGATGAAGCTACCCACAACTTCTGAAGGCAACTTCCGTTCCATCGGTGATTCTTCTAAAAATTCCTCCTTATTTCCAGGTTGAATCTTTCCTTGGTCAGTTTCCATCCATTATTCCTTGTCTGGCCTTCGGGGGGGGGCCTTGGAAAACAGCTTGACCCCCTTCCTCCTCTCTGTGGCAGCCCCTCAAATATTGGAAGACGGCTATCGTGTCAAGAGCCTTGGTGGCGCAGCAGACTAAAGCACTGTTAAGTAACACCAGCTGCCTGCAATTACTGCGAGTTCGAATCTCACCAGGCTCAAGGTTGACTCAGCCTTCCATCCTTCCGAGGTAGGTAAAATGAGGACCCGGATTGTGGGGCAATAAGCTGACTTTGTATAAAAAAAAAGAACGCCGCTTAGGGGGGGCCGAAAGCCCTACTAAGCAGGTATATACAAAAGTATGAAGGCTATTGCTTAACGCATTGTAAGCCGCCCTGAGTCTCCGGAAAAAGGCGGCATATAAATCAAACCAATCAATCAATCAATCAGTCAATCAATCAATCAATCAATGTCTCCCCTAGTCCTCTTTTCTAGACTAGCCATGCCCAATTCCTGCAACCATTCTTCGTATATTTTATCCTCCAGTCCCCTAATCATTTTTGCCGCTCTTCTCTGCACTCCGGTATAGTTTCCCACTTGGGCACAGGGCTGGACTAGAAGACCTCAAAGGTCCCTTCAAACTCTGTTATTCTGTTCTACAGGGCCTGCCTGATTCTGTTGTGGCTCCGTTGTCTGAGCCTGGGCTATCGACAGATGCAGACTCTGAGAGTGAGGGAGAGGAGTTGGCAAGGCCTGCCTCTCCAGGACCCTCCTCTCTGGCAATGCCTCCAGAGGACACGAAGGCCAAATGATAGGCCCAGAGCCAAGCACGTCCCCGCAGCCACAGGTGGACAGCGACGAAAAAGATAAGTGCTGGCTGGACCCGCGACAGAGGTGCAGGGAGAAGCATGCGCAGCAGAGGGGAAGGCATGCCAGAGATTAGCTGAGTCACTGGACCACACTCCACAGGGTATAAATGTGGGTGTGGTGACCGGTTCAGTTTGTGACAACCAAAAACTGGAAATACTCCATGATCTCTGCATTACTGGACTTTGCCTGCTTTATCGGACTGCATTTGGATTAATCCTTGTATTATTGACACTCTGCCTGTTTTATCGGAATGCTTGCAGTCTAATCTTTGTTTTGTGTGAGTAAAGTCTGAATTAGCAGCTAGCCACTGGGTTGCTGCCAGCTTTATCTTCAAAGAGTTTTGCCGTCTGTGGGGGTGTGTGTGTGGTACGGGGACAGAACACTGCCTGCCTGGCAGACGCCCCCACCTACCCCAAGGAAAACCCGCTGAAGATGACCCGTATTTGAGATGATCAGCCATAGCAATCCAACGGATTCATATATCAATGAATGAATCAATAAACAAACGAAAATTAGCCTGCCGGCTTCTAACGCATCCCTTCTTCGACAGACCAAATGTCGCTGTTAGAAGAGGAAGAAAAAAAAAATCCACACTCTGGATATTTATAAAGCTCTTTTTACCGAGTTACAACAGAGAAGACGAGGAGGGGAACGTTCTGCAGAGTCTCTTGGGCCTGTTGACTTGTGCTGGTTTGCAACGGGCCCCTTCTCGGTGAAGAGCAGGTGAGCCGGGGGTGGGGATGGGGAGAGAAGACCCAGGTGAGGCAGGGAACAGCTGTGAACTGACAGAGAAGGCTACGCATAAAAGAACGTGACCACACACAAAACATGCAGGGTGAGGACCAGAACCCAGAACGACGTGCCCGGTGATGTCGCGTCTCACCTGCTACCAAACTACATGAAACTCAAGGGGGGTCTCTGCAACTGGAGCGGTGGTCGCGACGGTGCGATCGAAGCTGGGCGATCGCGTCAAACTGTCTGCAGATGTTCGATCGCACCGTCACGATCACCGTCCCTGTTTTAAACCGTACTCTGCGGACACCCTGGTCGAAAATGAGCATTGGTGGACTCCTTGGAGCACGGAAAGGGAGGGGGGGTTGATACAATTGGGCTGGGCTTGGAGAATCAAGTGTCACTCACACGTACGCAAAAAACACACGCAGCTCAGAAGCCCATCCGTATCGTGTCCGACGCAGCGGCGCGGTCCGACCACGAAAACGGAGGAGGGAATACGGTCAGTGGACAAAATGCATAGATTGTGCCTATCCTGAGCAGGGCAGAAATGAGCAGCGTCTCAGTGATAAATTAGAACCATCAACTGCGGCCCTTCTGGACCGTCACAGTGTTAAAAGAGGCTCTAATATTGCTGGAACAAGGGGTGTCATCCCTCACAACATCCTGTGTAGGTTTCACGCATGCAGCACGGGACTCCCAGGAAACGGACGCGGTATTTAAGTCCGCGGGAGTTGGACGTATTTCAATGGACAGATCAAGGGATCAGCTAGTGGTCTGGTAAATGAGAGGTTGCACAGGGGGAGGGTCAGGGAACAGGGGTAACCAAGGCTCTCGGTTTTATTTGGTCTCAGCCAACACACCGAATCGTCCCCCTTCAAACCATTCCCAGTGGTTCCCCCTCCCCAGTTTGGAAAGAGGGTAGCTTCAGACCCCCGGAAACAGCACTCCAGTGTGGTGAGCCAGCGGCATCTTGTCCCGTCCTTCTAGGCCAACTGCTCAAAGCAGATACAACGTAGAAGCCTAGTTATGAGATCGTCCTCCTGCTCTTTTGGGTGGGGAGGTGACGCATGGCACAGGGCAGGCCGAGAGAGGGATTCAAAGAGAGTAAGGGAGGATGGGCAGCGGAGGGCTTGTCCTGGCCGAAGAGACGAGCTGGCGCTTCCGAGAAATCGCAGGGGTCGGATCCAAAATCTCCTCTGAGTAGTTGGGTTCGGGGGGAGTGCTTGTTGCTTGGTTGTGACCAAGTTGGGACGGGGGACAGGGCGCGTGGCAAGTGTGGTCCTCTCCACCAGGAGGCTGGGAGGGTCCTCAGGTCAGCGATCCACCCTCGTTGAATTTCTTCAAGCAGGAGTACAACATTAAGCCTCCCGCGCAGATGAGAAACAGACCGAACGGTTTCATCCCTCCGTTGGGGTCCTGCAGAACAGGGGACAACAGACAAGAATGAGTGATGCCACCTTGGACCCTGCTTTCCTGCCCCCTCTGGGACAAGCCACAATGACCTCCTACATGACATGACGCCATCGTGGCCGTGATGCCAATCAGGGGTGCGTATAATCCACTCAATTCTACCCGCCCCTCCAAGGAGGCACGTCTCCCATCCTAATATGTGAGCTCATCCAAGTCAGTCTTTAGCTATGGGACAAGGACAGACAATTCTCTTGGTTCTTCAATGCTGTACAAGTAATCCTCGACTTACGACCACAACTGAGCCCAAATTTTCTGTTGCTGTTGCGAATATTTCCCCACGTTACGACTTTTCCTGCCACAGTTGTTAAATGAGTCACACGGTTGTTAAGTGAACCTGGCTTCCCCCTGGACTTTGCCTGTCAGAAGGTCACAAAAGGGGATCACGTGACCCTGGGACATGGCAACCGTTATAAAGCAACATGCCAGTCGCTAAGCGGCCGAATTTTGATCACATGACCCTGGGGACACTGCAATGGTCGTAAGGGTGAGAAACAGACGTAAGTCACTTTTTTTTCGGCGCTGTTGTAACTTCGAACAGTCACTAAATGAACTGTTGAAAGTCGAGAACTACCTGTAGTTACCGTAGCTTGACCTCGGCATGTACAGGTCTGGCTGTCGTACCTGACATCAACATAGCTATCACATGTCATAAACCTGGATTTAAGGTTAGCGTGTGTATCGGGGAACCCAACCACTCATTTATTCAGCTTCAGGGAAGCCGCAAAACCACAAAGACGCAAAGGACAGAAGGGAGAACCTTGAGGAACAGGAGGAAGAGCTGCAGCCGAGACAACAACCAGATAAGAGAAAGCGGAGTCTGGGCCAGAACTGTAACCCGAGGAAGCGTCTCAGACGAGACACTCCCTGGTTCCCGTGAAGAGAAAGAGAAGAAGGGGGGGAGGCGCTATTCGGACTTGCGAAATTCTGTTACTGCAATCTTATCGCAAACATAGTACAGGTGGGTCGGGATTACAGGTAGTCCTCGATTTACGGCCATAATTGAGCCCAACATTTCTGTTGCTAAGCGAAACGTCTGTAAATTCGCCCCATTTTACGACCTATCTTGCCACATTTGCTAAGTGAATCAGTGCAGTCGTTAGGTTAGTAACACGGTTGTTAAGTGAATCCGGCTTCCCTGGATTCAGAAGGTCGCAAAAGGGGACACTGCAACTGTCATAAATAGGAACCAGTTGCCGAGCATCTGAATTTTGATCACGTGACCGTGGGGACGCTGCAGCAGTCATAAGTGTGAAAAATGGTCATAAGTCGTTTTTTCAGTTCCATCGTAACTTCAAACGGTCACTAAACGAACTGTCGTTAAATTGAGGACTACCTGTACTGTATAATTTTTTCCTTTGTTTTTCCTCTTGCGTTCTATAACAATTCTGCTATTGTTGCCCATTTAAATTTTAAGGCTGTATGAAATACTTAATTAATGAACGTTCATTAATGTGACACAAAATTTTAAGTTTTTAAAATTTCGCTTCCCAGTTCCATCAGGATGAAACCAGGTTCTTAAGACACGTGACCGATCTGGTACTGCAATCTGTTTTGCAGCCGTCGTTAAGTAAACATGGTGATTGCAAAGCAAACGCAACGGTTGTTAAGCGAATGTAGAGTTTGTTAAATGAACACGGAGGTTGTTAACTGAACCAGTTGTTTGCTATAGGTGCAGTTTTACCAAAAACCAGAAGTTTTCAGCAAAACAGTCACTGCCAAGCTTTGACATGTGACCGCAGAGGCCCCACTGTTGTAATTTAGAACCCAGGTCGTAAATCCTCTTTTTTGTCAGGTTGGTCGTAACTTCGAAGTGTCGCTCAGCGGCCAGTCATAACTTGAGAACTACCTGGTGTATGCAGAATTCAACCCTGACTTAACACAGCCATTGACTTTAAAGGAAGGCTCAGGGATCATGGGGCATGTCCTTCAACCCCCAACCCCCAAAGATTTAATTCAGAATTGTCCCCATTTTCCAGATGGAACTACTGAGGCTGGCCGGAAGGAAAAGCATTGAAGGGCACAGTGCGAATCCAGAAGTCAGCTCGATGGGCTTTGTTAGAACTCCGTGTCATGTTCACCCAAAGAAACACAGATTTTCTGACCCTGATTGCTCTCTCAAAGCCCCCAAAATAGGCCCACCCTAATGGGACCTTCTGGAAGCAAATTAGAAGAGCCTGAAATATAGCAGAATAACAGAGTTGGAAGGGACCTCAGAGGTCTTCTAGTCCAACCCCCTGCTTAGGCAGGAAACCCTACACCACTTCAGACCAATGGTTATCCAACCTCTTCTTAAAAACTTCCAGTGTTGCAGCATTTACAACTTTCTGGAGGCAAGGAGTTCCACTGGTTAATTGTTCTCACTATCAGGAAATTTCTCCTTAGTTCTAAGTTGCTTCTCTCCTTGATTAGTTTCCACCCATTGCTTCTTCTCCTGCCTTCTGGTGCTTTGGAGAATAGCTTGACTCCCTCTTCTTTGGGGCAGCCCCTGAGATATTGGAAAATGCTATCATGTCTCCCCGGTCCTTATTTTAATTAAACTAGACATACCCAGTTCCTGCAACCGTTCTTCCTATGTTTTAGTCTCCAGCCCCCTAATCCTCTCTGTTGCTCTTCTCTGCAACTCTTTCTAGAGTCTCAGCATCTTTTTTACATCGTGGCGACCAAAACTGGATGCCGGATTCCAAGTGTGGCCTTACCAAGGCCTTGTAAAGTGGTATCAACACTTCACGTGATCTTGATTCTATCCCTCTGTTTACGCAGCCCAGAACTGTGTTGGCTTTTTTGGCAGCTGCCGCACACGGCTGGCTCATATCTAAATGGTTGTCTACTAGGACTCCAAAATCCCTCTCAGAGTTCCTACTATTGACCCAGGGACCACCTATGTTGTACCTGTGCATTTGGTTTTTCTTGCCTAGGTGTAAAACCTTTACTTTTCTCACCACTGAATTGCATTTTGTTGAATAGGGCCGAGTTCTCAACTCTGTCAAATGCCTTCTGGATCTTCAGCCTGTCTTCGGAAGCGTTCAGTCTATTCTGGGGGGGACGTGCCTTCAGGTCTTCGGAATCCCCCCCCCCCCATCAATCAAAATTTCAACAGATTAACAGATTAACAGAGTTGGAAGGGACCTTATAGGTCATCTAGTCCAACCCCCCATTCAAGCAGGAGACCCCTATACCCGTGATGACGAACCTATGGCACGCCTACCACAGGTGGCACGTGGAGCCATATCGGTGGGCACACAAGCGTTGCGCTAGTTCAGCTGCAGTGTGCATGCGCGCGCCAGTCAGCTGATTTTTCAGGCCTTCTGGGCCCATTGGAAATCGGGAATTAGGCTGTTTCTGGCCTCCGGAGGGCCTCTGGGGGTGGGATAAGGCCTGTTTTTTACTCTCCCCAGGCTCCAGAAGCTTTCTAGGAGCCTGGGGAGGGCAAAAACGGCCTTCCCCACCCGAGGCTCTCTGGAGGCTGGAAATGGCCGGTTTGCCGACTTCCGGAGCCCCTGGAGCCTGGGGAGGGCGAAAAATGAGCCTACTGGGCCCACTGTGCCATCACATGCCAAAAGTGGGGGGAGCACAGGGGGGTCGCAGGGATGTGCGGGATGGTGGGGCGCATTGAATTATGGGTGGGCACATGCATGCGCGACCCCACCCACGCGACCCCCACTTTTGGCACGCAATGGCAAAAAGGTTAGCCATCACTGCGCTATACCGTTTCTGACAAATTGTTTTGCTGAAAACCAGAGAGGTGTTTTCTCCGGGGGGGGGAAGAGTGGGGGGGGCAAACACCCCCCCACCCCCGCTGCTCAGCCTCGGTTTCTCTCCCTGGGCCGGAAATCCGACCCTGTCTGCCTTCGATGCCTTTGAACCTTCCTCTTCTCCTCCTCCTCCTCCTCCTCTTCCTCCCCAAATTCCAAGCCCAAAGTAGGAAATTCGCCCGTGGGCCAATGGGGGGGGGCGCATACCATCTATCGCAGCTTTCCCTGCAGAGTTGCAAACACAAAACTTAAACAAACACTTCGAGAGTTGTCAGAGGTACTAAAAGGCTGAAATAATGGGAATTTTGCAAACACAAAATGCCGAAATTCGGGGTTTGAAAACCATTTATATATTTAACGGGTTTCTCCCCCTCCATCGTGAAAGTGGGTTAGGTGGTCCTCGCTTAACGACGGCAAATCGGAATTTCTGTTGTCAAGCCACACGGCTGTCCCACGCGTGCACTGCTTACAGATGGCAGTTCCGCTTGCGGCCGTGAAGCGAATCCCAGGTCGTCTTTAAGTGAGGACATCGGGTGGCCATCGTTCACGATCGGCTGCCAGCCTCCCCATTAACCTTGTTTGTAGATGCTGGAAAAGGAAGTCACAAAGAGTGACCGTGGGACCCTGCGACGTCGTAAGTACGAGTACAGGTTGTATGTCCCACTAATTCAGCACCTTCGTGGTTTTTTTATTATTTTACAGGCGGTCCTCGACTTATGACCACAATTGAGCCCCAACATTTATGTCACTAAAATTTATTAAGTGAGTTCTGCCCTGTTTTACGACCTTTCCTCCGGCAAGCAAAATCGACGCAGGAGGCCAGGTTCGCTTAAGGACCGCGTGATTCATATTAGCAACTGCGGCCAAAAGGTTGTACTATCAGGTGTGACTCACTTAACCACCGTCTTGCTTAGTGACCAAAATTCTGGCCCCACTTGTGGTCGTAAATTGAGGACTACCTGTACTGCTGTGAGCAGTCTCATAATTAACCCACAGGATGCGGCTGGAGTATTATTATTTATCCCCTTTATTATTTTCCACTTCTTTTATTGGCTGTATTATTTTTAAATTCTGTTGTTTTGCAAGGAAATGTAGTCCTCAACTTACAACCGTTCATTTAGTGACGATTCGAAGTTACAACAGCACTGAAAAAAGTGATTTATGACCGTTTTTCACACTTACGACCGTTGCAGC